CAGAAGAATGAGTAACTATTGTGGTAATGTATTGCAGCCAATTTGTGACTATAATTGACTATTTGCTGCTAATGCGCTTGTGGATCAGTCATTCAATTAATACACGTCAATTTACTGGACACTAAAACAGTTAATTGACTTCTATGAATTTATCATTTTCATTGCTCTTTATATGTTTTTCTGCTTATTTTAGACATTTTCAGGGTTCCGCAGTTTTTGAAAAATGGAAGAAAATTGAAAATCCAATTTTATATCCTCATTCAAATTCTAAAAGTAATTCTTTATTCCATCATTAAGTTTAAGTCCATAAAATAAACGTGTTCAATTTACTCAATATCACCGCTATGTAGCTGCTACAAGCTCGAAGTAAATACTGTAATCTGTCCATAGCGCTTTATAAGGTAGTCGTTCAATTTAACACCTCTGCTTCTCTCCATTTTCAATGATCCCTTTCTAACAGTTCAGTGATATAGTTTGTTCAGTGATATAGTTTATAGATTTAGCCCGTATTCACATGCATTACTATGAGGTCTCACAGTGCGTGTGGACGCACAGGGTGTCACACGAACCATACACAGAGCTCTATTCAACGATGTGCGTTCGATTTGCTGCTTCACTTAAGCAAACATCGTTTGTGAATACGGTTAATTATAGTTACTTGAGTTAGCTTTTCAAATAGGTACCTAGTCCTGAAATATTTCGCTATAATGCATAGTATTGTTAGTTAATGACTATAAACTGTAGATAACGACACTTATCAGTTTATTTTTATTTTGGTTGCATGTTGTCAAACAGTTTAATCTAATCACTGTAAACATTTTGTGTGAGTAATAAGACAAATTTTATGAATCTATTGTATTTTGTAGGTTTAATTGCTATTTACAATCTGTGCTTAACCAGTAGGAAGCAGATTCACTGATTGAATTTAAGCCATGTATCGGATAAGTTTTACATTGTTGGGTCAAACATTTGAACAAATGAAGAGCGTCAATTTATACACGCTGCATTCGTGTTGACGCGATGCTTTCGCTTCTACAAAGCTTCAAGGGAACACTTTCACGGTATCTAAATTAATCTGTTTCACTGTTAGTGGCAGTTTACCATAACAAGTAGAAAGTTTACACGATTGAATAGTACCGTTCGCTGTGCGAGTTAGACAACAGGGTTTGTCTGTGCTCGTGGGAGCTCGTTAAAACGGACTCCTAGTGATGCTCAGGTGAATCACTCATTCGGCAACGACCGGCGAAATGTTTTGGAAACTAGGCCGAAACTTTCTGCACGCACAAATGAACGACATACATGATGCGAGAAAGATCATCCCGGAAAAGACATTAGTATATTACTTAGTTAGACCAACATCTACAGAATCTAAACTCACTTCTTGCTTGAGAAGAACTTAATTTGACATGAGACACAAGATCAAATAATGAAGATCAAAATAACATTATTACAGGAATAATGATCTCTCTCCTGAATATAAAAGTAAGTTTAATGAATAAATATTACGAATATTACTTAAGTATTCTATCTGCACTTAATTTCACCAGTGATCATGGTTAATAGGTACCTTTTTATTTTTCGATATATTTTTTTCCTTATAGCATCATGCATTTGCACATTTACCGATAACGAATTATATATTTTATGTAGATTTGCACGTTACATTATTTGCATTATCGTCGCGACCTTGTTACCCCGCACTAGTCCAGTCGCGTAGTTCAAAAACCCCATTCGTCACATCTCCGATCTGCTGCACTAATCTAGCCAATTACGTGGCCGCCTTAATGGCCGGGNCCATAGTGTGCCGGTTTCCGACCTCGAGGTGACTGCACATTACAACTGGGTCGGTTGACCCCTGCCGCATTCGGACTTCCGAAAGGAGATTGATGTTTCGTCATTGTGCGATTTTCCGCGAGAGAAACTAGCTACGTCTTATTTTAGTGTAAGTACAACAGGTATAATTACTTACTAGATAAAGTGCCTTACATGAATTTCAATATGTTAAAAATATTTAGTGATTGCTATTCAAGTTTGTAAAAAACTCATAAAACTCATTTATTTATGCAAGTAGGCTTTTAAAAAGCACTTTTACACGTGCCAGTATTAACCCTACCATTGCTTCAGGACAATAAATGGGCCAGTACTGTATTGTATTCAGGTATTCATAAGATTTAAAGTTCATATTATGTTGTTAATGGTTAATTAAGATTACGCTCACTTTTATCTGGCAGGTAAATTATCGGTCATAAGGATAATAACAGATCAGATTGCTGATTAAACACCTTGTAGAAACAGGTGGCATAAAGACCATTAAAATTGACCATATGTTTGCTTATTTGATCCATTAAATACATGATATTGACGGCAATTGAAATGCTAATATTTTAAACATACTTCCATCGTACATCTAATAGAGCTGAACGTGAATTTGCATAGTAGTTAAATTTAAATTATGCAGGAGTTATTTTTAACGAGTTTTAAGGTTATTTAATGCGCGTACACGTTTATAATCATAATCAAAGCACGCGACGGCAAAGGATCATGGTGTATGTATGCATAGACTTCTAAATAATTTGACTTTTAAAAAGTCTATAAAAATAATCGTTCAATATAAATAGACAGATGCTACATTTTTTGTTCGATTCTATGCAAAAAGTTACAGGGTTTTTGCTCTACCGTCTGCGATTGCCGCTCTCAGCTCATATCTTTTATTTATTATGAAAAACTTTTTTATGGAAGTAATTATATTTAAGAAAAAACACTCATTATAAACACTAATAACTATGAATATGCACATGGATTCGGAGATGATCTTACTAAAATAAAGATTTAATATCCATCAGTCTCTTTATCATAAAGCCTTTCTATAGTTTCCATATAGGTAAATTAACGCTTTTGATGCTAATTGGAAATATTTATAAGTCGGATGTTACAAAATAATTAGCAATATCGCAATTTGAGGCCGAATGGGCGCGTGGGCCGCGCAGGACCTCGGCTGCGCCCGCGCACCTTATACATGTCACCTTTTATATTGTTGGTTACATGCAAATCATAATCGCCTGCCATTGGATAGACGTTTTTGTACACATTTAAGCACAACCGCGTGGGCTGTGCAGGAATTTGGGCACTGGATTGCGAGTGTGCTACTTTTGCTCTATTAGGTTTGTAGATGAATATTACTCAATGATTTGACTAAAGGTTACGTGTCACCGGCGCTAGTGACTAAAGATATCTTCATAAATGTATTTGCCATTAATTAATTAAAAAAAGTAAAGTTGATGTAGAGCTTCGACGCACTGCCATTGATGCTTTATCCCACTAATAGATGATCTTCCAAAGTACAGTCCCGATTTCAAATAAAGGAGAGACGCTCTCAGCATGCGTATTTTCCTAAGTTATTGTCGCCTTCTTCCAGCTATTCTGAGATATGTCGTCTAGTAATGACTGTTTTTTGCGGCTGGGTTTACAGCCTTCCGAAAGTAAAAAAATAATAATAAGAGCTCATTGAACTGAGGACTTTTTTCAGGTTTATACTGAACTGTAATTAAAATATCTCAGAATATTAACAAATTTCCCATGAACATAATGTGGCTTTTTAATAAAGAACAAAAAGAAAATTACGCAGTTTTGCAGAGGTTAATTGGTTGTAAAATAGCGCCTTATTTCGCCGGTTTGGTTTAACAATATAATCTGCACAACGGCGACTTGATACAAGCAGTGGGCGGACGGTTCTGCATTACCGCAATTGCTTAAATTCGGTAAGCCCTCTCACTCAATCTTGAAGACATGCCCCCAATTACTCATCACGAACTGTAGCAGACAGAAAATAACAACTTTTACTATTTATTTTTAACATAATAGACTTCCATAACCGTCTATTTGACCGACGAAAACCTTTTTATGGGCACGGTCTCATGGACTTCAGGGGATTTTGAAGCAAGCATATTTATTTTAGAATAACTTAAAAAAACTTTATTTTAAAAAGATCTGATACGTTTCCAAGTATTTTAAAGTAAAATACAACTGCCAGTTGTACTCATATCAAACATTATTGTATAAGTATTCTTATTAACCTTTGGGCTATAACTTCTTACTATTTTTGCTATGAGTTGGTAGAGTGCCTACTGTGTTGTACCCATATTATGTTTATGTAGTGCATTACTTTTACACGACTGTAGCGGCACTGCAGTAAACTGAGCCGAGACAAATTGCCCGTGAGCCTGCCATAAAGTCATTCCACTTTGTTCCAAATGACTGTAATGAGACAGCAAAAATTACGTGTAATTCGTTTTTTATGCCTTGATCTGCAACCGGCATTAATAAGATATTGCAATTTTTTTAACAAAAATAAAACCCGAAATATTTCTTAGAGAAATAATAAAAATGTTTATTGGTGGTCAACATTTGGACAAAAATAATACTTAATACGTACGCAAAAACGCGACTAGTTGGCATTTACAATGAAATTATAGCAATATTTATAAAATTTAATTGCCAAGAATGTTGATTCCAATCGCGTTAAATTAAATTAATAATAACTAATTTGAATGTTAATTAGAACTTATTAGATGTTGTGGACCATTCAAAGTTCAAGCACTTCCGTGTTACTTCCAATAAGTTACAATATTATTGAAGCAATTTAAGGCATTCTTTATAGCTGGTAGTATCGTGTCCAGCGTACTGAAACTTTAATTTGGATGACTAGTTAGAAAGATAATTGCTTCGTATGTGAAATTATTCCATGAACAATGGTAGTTACCAGTTCTGTTTTAAGTGCGCAATTTGGTAATTGTGGTGTTACAGTCAACGGCAAAATTTGCTAGTGAAATTACATGTAAACTCTATTTTCGTGACGTAAGAGTCGTAAAGTTATGTTCCTTCACTGTACTGTACTAAGGAGTTTCTGGCACGCGATGTGCGGTGATATGTCACTCACAGGTCATGAACCTGCATACGTGGCTCGTTAACCATCATTCGGTCAAGTTAGCTTCGTTGGACATTCAGAACACGTCTTTTTGTGATATTTGAGGAATGTCAAACGCCCACGCGACACGCTATAACACATGGAGCATCATGAACGAGATTGATGAAGTTGTACCTACACAAGTTGCTCATTTCGTGTATCATATCATTTCAGCCAAATGAAGTCCACTGCTGGACAAAGGCCTCCCCCAAGGATTTCCACAAAGACCGGTCCTGCGCCTGAATCCAGGCACCTCCCGTGACCTCAGTTCGTGTATTTCAGAAAATCTCGTAACTTTCTGTCATTTTCATGACTTCATCTATGATAAGTACTCAGGTTGTTTCCTCTATCAACGTGATTAGTTTTTGTATGTTGCAGAATTACTTTAAGAAATGGCGTTCTTATAAATTGGAACTCAAATGTTTTGAACGATACTCGTACATATCATCTGAAGACAGTTTTATGGCTCTTATAGATTAATCCCATGTCAGTGCTCTTACGCAAGTTTCCTTCTATAAGTAACTGCGATTAGATGTTAATTAAAGGTTACACCACGCCTTTGACACGATAGGTATTGTATACTATAAACAATCAAACAGGATTTATAATTGCCGCTACTGCTGTATGTGATTAAATTTTATTCCATTTTAGGATTGTTAACTGGGAAACCTATAGTGGCAAACATGCCACACTACTAATGGTAAATGCAAACCGGTAGAAAATAAACTGCACAAGAAATCGACTGCAATTTTTGCTATGGTCGAGGAATAAGGCACGCAAGTAGATCTTTCTAAATCACTAAGCCTTTAATGCTGCATTTAGATTATTTAATTAAGCAAATAAATAGCCAGGTGTTCTTCAACTGGTGTGAAATAGAAGCCAAAGATCATGTAGGTGAGCAATTAAAGTCAGCTGGTGGCCTTCACGGTGTTTAATCGGATCGCTGGCGTAACTTTATAACGCTAGCAGTATGGCACTGGGCGTACTTAGCGCCTTTAGTAGTAAAGTTAAGCGCGTTGTGTGTAATTGTATCATAGAAACGTGTAAATTATACTTACACGCAATACTGTTAACTGCGCACGCACATTTTTGTTTCATAAAGTTTGAAAAATGACACAATGAAGAACGTAATTTGGAATTTATTTTTTTTAAGGCAGGTATTTGACCGCAATCGCACCTGGTGTTAAGTGAAATGCAGTCTAGGATGGTGCATATCTGCCTATTCACTCTCGCGGAATATATTGAACGTGTCTCTATCAGGAATTAAGAAATTGACAGACAATTTATTAATACAAAGTAGTCAATTATTTACATGCCTCTGTTCTCAACAACCATTTGGAAAATTGTCATTACAAACTAACATGGACGACGCATATCCGTTCCCAGCACAAACGTACAAATAAAAGAGCGGCCCATCGTCTCTAATGCGTGTCGGCGACATGGGGAGCGATGATGATCTATGTGAGATTGTGGAAGGACGTGAAATTGAGGGTACATGGAAAAGGGACATTCGGTTGGCTGTGCGGTGCAGATATAATACCCACTTCAAATAAACAAACATCTACAAATAGGTACGATGAAAAGGATAGGAACTAGCGTGACAGATAAGGATTTATTTGCTTCTAACAATGGTTCGTTAAAATAACCAAATTTTTTTTAAGAACAATGACGTTTCTACTTCTATGCGTTGTCCAATTGCGATCTTATAAGATTTATATCCTCAATATCAAAATTATCCAAGTTAGTAGTTATTCCAGTTCAGATGCAAACAACAAAAGGATGTTTGATTAATGCGGCTCAAGCGTGTTATGCACCGAATGCATAATATCCTATGCGATTACCGGCTTATGATTAAACACAACGCATTCTTGTTCTAATGGTCCTTCAGTCTAGGTGTATACCCAGTATTACCCACCCGTATATGGTGCTAGAACAACAGGCTACAATGTTGCCAGCCTAGAGAATCGTTATAGCACAGCTGTTGCAGACATATTTTTAGTCGAATGAGGTCAACATTGGCTTCCAGTGTTATGGAACAAAGAATTAAGAATGCTATGATACCAGCGCCGTGGCCTTCGTCACCGTGGGCCACGGCATATGCTGAGTGGGGTCCCGTTGCAGTGGGCATCTTGTTGGTGAATGGGTGGCACTGCTCAGTTTACTCTTGTTTTTATTTTTTCTTCTTTTATTATTATGTGCCACTGTCATGTCTATGTAATTGCCTGTATTTGTGTGATGTCCATTGTAATAAATGTATCTTTCTTTCTTTCTTTCTTTCTATGGGTACATATTCGGTAGAGTATTGTTGGCAAGCAAAAATGAAAGTCATAACCGCAATGATGGTTTGACTCAGATGGTAGTAATTGGTAGTAATTATCTAATATTGCTAGTAGACATTGTCCTCATTTTGTAGCAAGGGACATAAGAGAATTATGTTCTGCTTAATTTGCAACTTTATTTGACGTATAAGATTCTTAAGACAAATCCAGGACTGGATAAAGCAATCCGTTAAACTGTTCGCTGCCCATGCCTATTACCCTTTCTCCTCTCCGCACTCTCCGATTCGGCGAATAGGGAATCTGATTTAATATGATCAAGAGCTATTCTACTTAACAAATGGATCTATGGCCTTCTTGGCAAGCTGGCCATACTGCATCGCATCTGTTTTTAGGCCTAGTGAGATTGGTATTAAGAGCGTTCAGGAACGACTCGACTTATCAAATTGGCCTAGTCCTTCAAGTAACGAGTGAACAAGCATCTTCTGAGAAAGCTGGCTACACATCTGCAGTTCTGTACCCCAGTCAGATTGTTATAAAGAGCAAGACTTACTTGTCCATACGCGAGTACAGTGGCGTTGTAGCCATCGAGGGCCGCCTCCACCAGCTTCCTGACGCACGTGTCGTAGACATCCTGCTGCGCCGCCGACGGCTCGAAGGAGTAGTCGAAGGTGAAAGCCCGCTCGGTGCCGAGTGCCACCCCCCCGTNAGGTGAGCAATTAAAGTCAGCTGGTGGCCTTCACGGTGCTTAATCGGATCGCTGGCGTAACTTTATAACGCTAGCAGTATGGCACTGGGCGTACTTAGCGCCTTTAGTAGTAAAGTTAGCGCGTTGTGTGTAATTGTATCATAGAAACGCGTAAATTATACTTACACGCAATGCTGTTAGCGAAGCACGCACATTTTTGTTTCATAAAGTTTGAAAAATGACACAATGAAAAACGTAATTTGGAATTTCTTTTTTTTATGCATCACAAAGCAGGTATTTGACAGCAATAGCACCTGGTGTTAAGTGAAATGCAGTCTAGTCTAGTACATATCTGCTTATACACTCTCGCGGAACATATTGACCGTGTCTCTATCAGAAATTAAGGAATTGACAGGCAATTTATTAATACAAAGTAGGCAATTATTTACATGCGTCTGTTCTCAACAACCATTTGGAAAACTGTCATTACAAACAAACATGGACGACGCATATCCGTTCCCAGCTAGGGTTGCCAGGTCCAAAATCACAAAAGCCGGACTTTGTGCTTCATTTGGCCGGACATTTTACCCTAAAAGAAAGCNGAGCGCCACCCCCCCGTCCCCCGCGGCACCCCCCGCCCGTGCGCACACGCCGCAACCCTCGAGCACCTCGCCTGGTGTCTGCGGTCGGATCCTGGGGGCAAAGGGTATAATTTAATGAAAGTTGGTGAAGATTTTCCTTGTGCTTTTCTAATCTGAATAACCCTGTTTTAAAATGGCTCAACTCGGCTTGCTTGCTGCTGAGAAATCTACTATATAAAAATAAGTCGGGTTTTCCTCCCTGACGCTATAACTCCAGAACGCACGAACCGATTTCCACGGTTTTGCATTCGTTGGAAAGGTCTCGGGCTCCGTGAGGTTTATAGCAAAGAAAATTCGGGAAAAGGGGGTAAAACAGGATCCACGCGTACGAAGTCGCGGGCGGCCGCTAGTAGGTTATAAAATTGAGACCGTTTCAGTTTTCATTTATACATCATCCTCATCAGGTAATTTAGTCTTCATTGCAGGTATACGGCCCTCTCTAATGCATTAAAGGCGAATGAGGATTTCGCCTCTTCCCACACCGACTACATGGGTTTGGGAAGCAGTTATACATAGAGATAAACTACACTTTTCATTCTTTAGCATGAGTTAATAACACATTGCCTCAAATTGCATAGTCAGCGACCATAATCCATCAATTTCTTCAAGAACAATCAGCGGTTCGCGTAACTGCGCATTGTTTTCGTAACAGTACGGCATTGCTGCGCGTACAATAGGGATGTGACGCGACTCTTGGAATCGGATACTAAAGATCCGATGTCGCTTTTCGATGTTTGAATACATCACAACAATGCGTCCATTCGTGGAATTGGAAATAACTGAACATCAAGTACGAATCGATTGAACGAGAACGTATCTCTTCAATTGGTTACACACCNGTTCCAAATGACTGTAATGAGACAGCAAAAATTACGTGTAATTCGTTTTTACAAGCTTTTTTTATTATTATTACAAGCTTTATATTGACTTCACTTGTTAGTATGTGTGGGACAAATCTTGCAACTGAATTTAAGACCAGTTCTCCTCAACCGATTGAGCTGAAATTTGGTATACTTATGTAAGTACGATGACAATGCAATATTATGGTACCATTGAGTTGGTCTGATGATGGAGTCAGGAGGTGGCCATAGGAACTCCTAAACGAAACGGCGGAAACTTATCGAGCTTGGGTTCGTTGGATTCGACTTCCCGAGCACTTTTATGCTAAATGATGATCAGGCCCAGATATTGAGATAGTTACAACTAAAAAGTGTAAAATAAAATTATAATAAAAAAAACTTTTTAAAAAACAAGCTTTATCTCAGGATAAAGCTTGTTTTTTAAAAAGTTTTTTCTGAAATGCAGTTGTACTGAAACAAAAAAAATAATTGTGTGCTAGGTTCAAAGAATTTCGAAAGCTTGTAGCGCAAACAGAAAAAAAGAGGAATAAATTTCATGCGCGATACAAGCTTTCGAAATTCTTTGAGTTGTAACTATCTCAATATCTGGGCCTGATCATCATTTAGCATAAAAGTGCTCGGGAAGTCGAATCCAACGAACCCAAGCTCGATAAGTTTCCGCCGTTTCGTTTAGGAGTTCCTATGGCCACCTCCTGACTCCATCATCAGACCAACTCAATGGTACCATAATATTGCATTGTCATCGTACTTACATAAGTATACCAAATTTCAGCTCAATCGGTTGAGGAGAACTGGTCTTAAATTCAGTTGCAAGATTTGTCCCACACATACTTACAAGTGAAGTCAATATAAAGCTTGTAATAATAATAAAAAAAGCTTGTAAAAACGAATTACACGTAATTTTTGCTGTCTCATNGGGGGGTGCAATTAGTGTCAGTTCATGAGTGAGTACTATCATCATCGGTTGCTCACCAACATCCTGATGCGTGCGCATATGATTCTGTGGCTCGACTTTTGCCTGGCGCGGCAACCAAATAAAAAGCCTAACAAAAGCCGGACAGGCCGGACAAGGCAATATTTGGCCGGACAAGTCCCTAAAAAGCCAAACAAAGCCGGACGCCTGGCAACCCTATTCCCAGCACTAACGTACAAATAAAAGAGCGGCATCCATTGCGTCTAATGCGTGTCGGCGACATGGGGAGCGATGATGATCTATGTGAGATCGTGGAAGGACGTCAAATTGAGGGTACATGGAAAAGGGACATTCGTTTTGCTGTGCACTACAAGTACGATGAAAATGATAAGATCTTACGTACTTAGTTTTAGCAATGGTCTGTTATAACCAAATGTAATAAATAACCATGACGATGCTTCTACATTTCTACGTTGTCTAAGATTTGTATCTTCAACATCAAAATTATCCAAGTTAGTAGTTATTCCAGTTCAGATGCAAACAACAAAAGGATGTTTGATTGCTGCGGCTCAAGCGTGTTATGCACCGAATGCATAATATCCTATGCGATTACCGACTTATGATTAAACAATGGTTCTTCAGTCTAGGTGAATACCCAGTATTACCCACCCGTATATGGTGCCAGAATAGGCTACAATGTTGCCAGCCTAGATAATCGTTATAGCACAGCTGTTGCAGACATATTTTTAGTCGAATGAGGTCAACATAGGCTTCCAGTGTTATGGAACAAGGAATTCAGAATGGTATGAGGGTACATATTCGGTAGAGTATTGTTGGCGTAGCAAAAACGAAAGTCATAACCGCAATGATGGTGCGTTTGACTCAGATGGTAGTAATTATCTGATATTGCTAGTAGACATAGTCCTTATTGTAGCAAGCAGCAAGGGACATAGGAATAATATGTTCTGCTTAGTTTCCGACTTTATTGGGCGTATAAGATTCTTAAGACAAATCCAGGACTGGTTAAAGCAATCCGTCAAACTGTTCGATGCCCAATGCCTATTACCCTTTCTCCACTCCGCACTCTCCGATTCGGCGAATGGCGAATCTGATATAAAATGATCAAGAGCTATTCTACTTAACAAATGGATCTAAGGCCTTCTTGGCAAGCTGGCCATACTGCATCGCATCTGTTTTTAGGCCTAGTGAGATTGGTATTAAGAGCGTTCAGGAACGACTCGACTTATCAAATTGGCCTAGTCCTTCAAGTAACGAGTGAACAAGCATCTTCTGAGAAAGCTGGCTACACATCTGCAGTTCTGTACCCCAGTCAGATTGTTATAAAGAGCAAGACTTACTTGTCCATACGCGAGTACAGTGGCGTTGTAGCCATCGAGGGCCGCCTCCACCAGCTTCCTGACGCACGTGTCGTAGACATCCTGCTGCGCCGCCGACGGCTCGAAGGCGTAGTCGAAGGTGAAGGCCCGCTCGGTGCCGAGCGCCACCCCCCCTTCCCCCGCGGCACCCCCCGCCCGTGCGCACACGCCGCAACCCTCGAGCACCTCGCCTGGTGTCTGCGGTCGGATCCTGGGGACAAAGGGGATAATTTAATTAAAGTTGGTCAAGATTTTCCTTGTACTTTTCCAATCTGCATAACCCTGGAGTACAATTGCATGGCTAAAATTCGCTTTTAAAATGACACAACTCGGCTTGCTTGCTGCTAAGAAATAGGTGAAAAAATTGAGACCGAGCCACTTTTCGTTTATACATCATTCTCATTGCCTGATGAGCTTGGCTGATGAACCTTCATTGTAAGAATACGATCCTCTCCAATTGATCATAGGGAAATGAGGATTTGGCCTACACTTCCCACACTGGGAAGCAATTATACATAGAAAGATAAACTACAGTTTTTCATTCTTTAGCATGTTAATAATAACACATTTTCTCAAATTGCAGAGTCAGCGTGGTGCCCACACCGCTCGACCGAATAATCCATCAATTTCTTTAAGAACAATCAGCGGTTCGCGTAACAGCGCATTGTTTTCGTAACAGTACGGCATTGCTGCGCGTACAATAGGGATGTGACGCTGACTCTTGGAATCGGATACTAAAGATCCGATATTGCTTTTCGATGTTTGAATACTTTGAATACATCACAACAATGCGTGCATTCGTGGAATTGGAAATAACTGAACATCAAGTACGAATCGATTTAACGAGAACGTATCTCTTCAATTGGTTATAAAAATCACAAAAGAAAATTTTCTAAATTGAAATGTCTATTTATAGATGCTACTGTATTTTAATTAACTATTCAAACTTGACACTGAGTATAACAGTCATTGCGCCCGCGCCCGCGCAGGAAGCCTCAATTACGATCCGACGCGATCAATACACGGTCACTTGCGGAGTGGCGGCCGTCAGCTCACTAATCATGGTTGAGTAGTTTCCTTCAAAGTTGGACATAGAAATTTAATTTAGTTAAGAGGAAAAAAATCTGTCTAATTTTGGTTAAGTTTCAGGCCGCCATTGTTTAAAGTCATTGCTCTATACTTGGCACATTGCACATTCCGCGCTATAGTTATGGCCCTTGCCTTAATCATCAGACAAAACCTGTGTCTTTAACGTCGTCAACAGAAGTCGAAGTATCGAATGTTATCATCAGAATCGAATCGGGCGATACTTGGCACCGCACACGAGTCGACGACTCGCTGCGCGCAGGAAGTCACAATCACTCGGTCCTGCGCGGCGTGCATTCAATTATGATCCGCATGGGTGTTCTAAGCGCCCAGGATGTGCGTGTAAACATCAAAGCTGACACATGAGATTTACAGCTTTCAGACAGGTTAATTGGTTCAGTAGTACCTACTTGAAAGTGAATGAAAAGGGTAGTTAGTATTCCATTAATATTTAGTAGAAAGTTAATTCATATACATNCCTACTATTTACCAAAAAGATACAGCAGGCACGCTGAAAAACACTAGAAAAACGCGTTCTGACAAGTACGTTCAGGCTTCCAGAACCCAATCTGTAAGTTGAATCCCATATGTTTTAATACACAAAAATGCGGTTACATGGACCATTATTCCTGTACATTCTCAAGAACTTTCCATGTAAAGAAACCTAAAAAAACAGGATAGAGTAATCGATCAAATAAATGTCTTTGTCTTTGTCTTTGTCTTTGTCTTTGATCGTGCACTGAACCAAGGTCGGGGTAATCATATTCTTATCTCGATAACTCCGAAATTCTGCGACGAGTTGCATTACCGGTCACCTCGGCACGCAGGCCACCACTAAAGGTTCACGGGGGAGGATAGAGCTCGTTTCTAAATTGCGTTGCAAGGGACGTAGGCGCACATTAGCGACGTGTCGGGGTAATCACGGTTAACGCTCGGACACAACTTCAAATAATTATTTTACAAAACCTTTTAGTGATATTTTTATACCGTATATATTTTATCAATGTCTATTTAATCAGTAATCGATTACATAAGCTTTGAAAGCGGTAATAATAACGGATTAATTTAAACGAGCAAATTTGTTCTGAAATCCGGAGCGCGGACACGTCGTGGTAATCAATTTTTGACGTTCGTTCGTTCGTTTCAGCCAAATGACGTCCAACGGTCCTGCGCTGCCCGCATCCAGGCTCTTCCCGCGACCTTTACCAGATCGTCGGTCCACCTAGTAGAATTTTTGACGACTTACGATTTTTTTTTAATTACTTAATTAACTATTATTAACTATCTCTGTGGTTTAACAACAAGAACCAAAGTTAAATACTATTAGATAATAATATTTGTTACTAAAATATTATGATATTCGGGTACTTTTTGGCCACGGACACGTGATTTCTTGGCCGGTGGAACGACCCATTACTATAAAAACTACCAACGAAAATTGTTTTGAACGAGATCTAGTAAGTAGTTTTTTTTTAATACCTCGTAACTCGTAAACCGCTTATTACCGCGTAATCTTTCATACAAATAACTTAAATTAAAAAAAAAAAAAATCATAAATCAATGGTACGGAACCCTTTGTGCGTGAGTCCGACACGCACTTGGCCGGTTTTTTCGTTTTATTATCGTGTGTTAACGGATTAACGATTAACGTTAACTTGCGTTAAATCTTGCTAAATGTAACGTTTTAACGTTTAACGAAGTTAATTTTTTTATTAACGGTTTAACGATTAACGAAGTTAACTATTTGATTAACGGTGCCCAGCTATGGTTACACAAATCACAAAAGAAAAATTTCTATAATATTTTAAACTATTATGTTGCATTTTTACTATAAAATTATCACTTCACGGGATTTATTGCAACAATATCTATTTTAACGGAAAAATTTCTAAATTGAAAAGTCTATTTATAGATGCTACTGTATTTTAAACAACTATTCAAACTTGACACTGAGTATAACAGTCATTGCGCCCGCGCAGGAAGCTACAATTACGATCCGACGCGATCAATACACGGTCACTTGCGGAGTGGCGGCCGTCAGCTCACTAATCATGGTTGAGTAGTTTCCTTCAAAGTTGGACATAGAAAGTTAATTTAGTTAAACAGCGAAAAATACTGTCTAATTTTGGTTAAGTTTCAGGCCGCCATTGTTTAAAGTCATTGCTCTATACTTGGCACATAGCTCATTCAGCGCTATAGTTATGGCCCTTGCCTTAATCATCAGACAAAACCTGTGTCTCGAATGTCGTCAACAGAAGTCGAAGAATCGAATGTTATCATCAGAATCGAATCGGGCGATACTTGGCACCGCACACGAGTCGACGACTCGCTGCGCGCAGGAAGTCACAATCACTCGGTCCTGCGCGGCGTGCATTCAATTATGATCCGCATGGGTGTTCTAAGCGCCCAGGATGTGCATGTAAACATCAAAGCTGACGCATGATGAGATTTACAGCTTTCAGACAGGTTAATTGGTTCAGTAGTACTTGAAAGTGAATGAAAAAGGTAGTTAGTATTCCATTAATATTTAGTAGAAAGTTAATTCATATACATGTAGGTACCTACTAAGTGATTAACATTTCCATAATTTGGTGAAAAGAAATCAAATACCAGTATGATCATATTCTAAGCAAAGGATAAAGAAAAGCGAGGGGTAGGATACGTAGTTAAATAAGTCACCCGACCATCGGATGTTCGCCGAATCGATCCGCATTTTTGAAACTTCACCCCCACTTATTTCCGAGTATTTAGCCATCAAACAATAGGCTACCCCTATCAAACGCTGCAAAGCTAGGGGTGCCCGAGTCGATAACGTGGGTGTTCCCGGAATCCCGGTCCTTCCCAGGCCCAGTATTGATCTCCGCTGCCCAAAAACAGGCAGTTTCGTGCAAAAGCAAAAGTAAAATTGAAAGTTGAATAAAATATATCATAATCTTGGTACGGGGCGAAGTGCCTAAAACAAACATTGAATTAATTATAAGATCAGACAAAAATGTAAAGGAGGCTGTCATCATATTATGAGATTTGTCGTCACATGTAGAATGTAAAAGCTATTTTTTTGCAACAAAAATGTAGTCTCACGTGGCGTTGACTTGACAGTAACCTACGAACGAATACCGAATACGTATGAATTTTTGGAATTGATCGGATAGAACTTTAATTTACTATGTAGCTATTATAGCACCTAATCATGTTTCTTACTGCAATAGTTGTGTGTGTTAGTCTGACTTAGTCTTAACATATAATTGGGAAAACATCGACTGATGAAATATTTTTCAGTTTTAAACTTATTAACAAACCTAAAATATTATTGGTAACGTCCACAAACGTTGGTCACAAACATTTGCCTGATGAATTCTTGGGCTATACATCAGTCTTAATTCTTGACTGCACTGGCTCGCGCCTCACAACAATGGCGCGTGTTCTTGCACTCGCTTGCACAAGGTGCGCGGCCGAGTGGAACCCAGCACGCGACGCTGGTGCTGGACATAGGGTTGCCAGGTCCAAAAACACAAAAGACTAGGTGCTTAAATTAACCGGATATTTTACCCAAAAAGCCGGACATTCATGGGCGGAATCTTCTTGAATTCGCGGAAAATCATTTTCGTGTACTAGCAATTTTTTTGTGCTCGTTTTGTGTTTGTTGTGTTAGCCAGTATCTTCTGCGTTATTCAAAAGTTAGCCCATAAGGTCCTGCAGCCACATAATAAAAAACCTAACCTAACCAAAGCCGGATAGCTCGGACGAGAGAATATTTAGCCGGACACATCAGTAAAAAAGCTAACCATGTCCAGCTAAAGCCGGACACCTGGCAACCCTAACTGGACACGCCTTGCGCTAAGGAAATACGATCGCACTGATAACAAGCCATCTACTTGTTATTATAGACGTTTTTAGTTTATTATATGACTAACTAACTTTAAGAGTAAGTGATAATAAAGTTGATTTTATTGCCACAGTAGGCGTGTAAAGTCTAATTTGCCAGATGTGGAAATACAAGAAGAAGGTGCAAGATGTTAGATATCTGATGCAAGTTGTCAGCAATTTTAATTTGTATTTACGGCAAAAATAACCAGTATATTGTGCATCATGCACGTAGGTACACCCCATTTCACTATGTATCGT